AAAAGAAGTAGCCTTCAAGAACCCGGTTTAGCCATAATCAGCCAGGAAAAATATTTTTTTTCAAATTTGTAAATAAATTTTTGTTAACATTCCATAATTACCAGGGCAAATAAAATAGGAAAAATGCGGGGGGGGGGGTCTGGGAGGAAGCCTAAGAAGCATGGGCGGATTCAAATGGCAAGAAGTGGGTTGTTAGATTATGATTGGATTTGTGTCACAACATTAAGGTGACTAAAAAATGATGGACACGTCCACTTTCAAATTCAGTTTTTATCTTTGAAGAAACTTTATAAAATAGGTGGGCATTTTTGCTAAACAAACTTGAAACAGAAAACTGCACCAGTCAAGCCCTTCAATAAGGAGGGAGGTCTAGGGATAGAGGGAGGACTGAAAGAAAATCCAGTTTTGGTATTATGGTAAGAATAATTTTATCACAAAATGTTTTTACTACAATGTAGGTTTTTGTTTTTCCCAATTATTTCCCGAATGTGCAATTGATTCTGTTTGATCCAGAAGTTTCTTGCATTCTAAATGGCTTCTAAATGGCTTAAATCCTTCTACAAAGCTTTTCAGCTTAATTTGGCCCTTTAAATTTCAAGGCTTCTGTTTCACTTTTCTCTCTGTGACAAAAGCTGTGGAAAAAATGCCCAAAGTCCAGGGATACCAACTCCCTCTTTCCTGAAAAGATCTGAACAGGGCTTTGCCCCTCCACTAAAGTGCTACCATTATAGCCTTAATTGAGGTAGCAACCTTGCAAAGAAGAGTGCAAATATAATATCATAAAATTGCACAAAGAGCACTGAAAAGCCTATTTTGGAACTGATGCCTATTTAATACTTAGGATGGATCATTACTTGAATCCAGCCATTTTTATTGTGGTGAAAAATTGATTTCAGGGAGAGTAAGGAAAACAAAGAGGTCACCTAAAAAGAGCGATTCTACAAAAATTATGTTCGGTGATCTTCCAAATGAAGCTGATAGTTCTGAGGAAAGTGATAATGAATCATTGGAGGAGCTTGATTTTGATTGTGAGGATGAAGATATGTCAACTTATGAATCATCTGATCATTCAGACACAGAAAGCGATGTAGAAAGTGACACTGAAGAGGCTTCTAGGTAAATTAATTAGTACCAATTACATGTGAAATATGATTGTATACTACCCACCAATTTAAAATCTGGTTTAGTTGTCGCAGACATTACTATGCCATTACTTTTGCTCTGATGAAGCCCCATATGCTGAGGTAAAATATTAGCTATCTTTAATCCACTTGTGTTTCATTGTTGTTTATTATCTGCACATTGCAGTGTTTCATGTTTAAAACATTACTATTCTATGCAGTTTTGCAGATAATTAGCAAAGAAAACATATCTTTCAAATTGTTTAGTCAAGTTATGCATATGTTCAAAATTTACTTCATTCTGAAACACAGGTTCTTAGCTACAGATGGAAACCTCCGGACAGAACCAAAATTCATCTCATTTTTGGTTCAAATCTTGTTGCTCTTCAAGTTCTGTCATTTCTGCAAGAGTGACAACCCTAACATTAAAGCAACTAAATGTGGAACAATGCTGATTGTTCGGAGCCACTGTATTAACCCAGCATGTCTGAAAGAAGATCTTTGGAGAAGTCAACCGAAAATGACTGGAACTAACATACCTGCCGGCAACTTCCTGCTCTGTATGTCAACATTGTTAGCTGGGGGCTCAATCTCAAAAGTCAGACAGATTTTCAATCACATGAATCTTTGCACAATCTCGTTCACAACTTTCTTCAAACACCAAAGGGTAAACATGTCAAAATATTAATCAAATTTGCTATTTGAAGCTAATTCTGTTGAATCTAAAATGAGTTGATGCCCCTACTTGGAAATTGATTTTGTTATATTTTGAACCAAAAAAACTGGCTAAGTAATAGTCTCTCTTTATTTTATGACTAAAAACTTCATCCTTGTAGAAATGTGCTGCAGTATAGGGTTCATTTTTTACTATAAGTTTCAGGCAAAATGTTAAGTGGAGCACGCAAAATTACAAAGAGGGCACATATGTAGGCCAGGGAAGTAGAGTGGCAAACAAAACAGGCTTAAGAGTTAGAATATTTTCTTGATTATATAGCAAAAGTTTCTTATGAAAGTTTCAGTACACAAAAGTTTGAATTGACAACCAATAGATAACATACAAGTTTCTTTTCCAGGAAAAATTATTTCCAGCTATATATATCCACTGGAAAGTATATCAGGCTGGTCTCCTTAGAGCACTCAAAGACGAAAGCAATCCTGCTGTTCTAGCCGGAGATGCCCGCCATGACAGCATGGGTCACAGTGCAAAATATGGCACTTATTCGGTTTATTCATGCTCTCAGTCGGCTGTGATACATTTTGATCTTGTGCAGGTAACAATTTAATAAAAGACTGTTCTTGAATTTTTTTTGCATTTATATATACAACATATGAGACAGGCGATTCAGCCATGCAATACACAAGTATCTACTTCGAATCATCCAAAAATACCCATGATATTATACTTCTTGTGGTAATACAGAAAAGCCCATTTTAATACTTTGTACATAATTTACATTCCAGAGAAATCAAGCTGGTAGCAGCAGTGCTATGGAATTATATGGATTCAAACTCTGTCTAGAGACTTTACTGAGAGATGTCCCAATTTCCAAATTTGTCTCAGATCGCCACATAGGCATATCAAGCTTTATACAAGAGAACCATCCAGAAATAATTCATCGTTATGACATCTGGCATGTTGCAAAAAGTATGTTTAACAGCTTTCTTTGTATAATTGCCTTGCAAACGTTTTCAAAGAGTGTTTTCTTTTTTGTTTATTATGATTCACAACTTCCTTCCATTATTAGCACAATTGCAAATCTTACCATTATTAACACAATTGCAAATCTTATAATTTTTTATTTTTGACTTCAGAAGTAAATAAAATGTTAACAAAACTTGGCAAAGAAAAGGGTTGTGAAGTCATCAACAAGTGGATACGATCATGTGTTAATCATGTGTATTGGAGTGCCACAACAACCATGGATGGGAATGGTGATGTGATACTTGCCAAGTACAAAGCCTTTTTAAGCCACATACTAAATAAGCACGAGAATCTACCCGACCCATTATTCAGTAGTTGCAGTCATGGTCCAGATTTAACAAAGCGCAAATGGTTGTTAAAAGGTTAGTTATGAAAATTTTTAATCATTCGAAAGTAGAAGCTCATTCAATGTACAGTACTAATGCAAATCTTAAACCTGTCTGTCATTTAATCAACATGTCATTTAACTGCAGATTCTGATGCATACGAAAAAGTCTGCAAAGCCCTGACAAAGCCAGGATTCCTAAAAGGCATAAAGAAGCTTTCAAATGATGCGCAGACTAGCTGTTTGGAAGGTTTTCATTCTGTAGTAAATCAATTTGCACCAAAGATGATTTGTTATTCATATGTTGGAATGTACTGCAGGTAACAAATTAATATACAAGTCAGTTTTGATAAAGATTCAGAATCCCTGAAATCAAAAGGTTTTTTTACAAATATTTAGAGATTTGAAAAAAATTTATATTAGCTTCATGAGATGTAAATAAAAACTTCAAATAACTTTGTATATACTTTAAAATATCAAAATTGGATAATTCCAGGCATGCTCTAGCTGCAATACATTTCAATTACAATGTCAACCGTGGTGTAAAAAGAAAGAAGAATGGGTCTGTGCAGAAAAAAGTAGCCTACCCAAAATTAAAAAATGGTACCGCAACAGTACGTGATGTTCCAGTGGCACAAAATTTTGGTTAGAATTCCTTTTTTAAATTTTCAATTAACATTAAACTTAATTTTCTGAAAGTTTTCTAATTACACATTTGCTTTTACAGAATTTCACTTTGACTCAATAAAAAATCTAATACAGCCCTGCTGCAGTTAAGGTTATAATTTTGAATTAAATAAAAACAAATGGCAATAGACAATCAAGGAAATTTGAGCTTCAGAATTAAGGATTCTCGCATTCTGTATTAAGGAAACTCTTACTGAATTATATCGACAGATTATGTGGAAGACATTTATCAGACCATCCTTAATGGCATCAAGTCACCAACAATGTTACAGGATGCTATAAATGAGTTGAAGGATCAAACACCTCCACCCATGAACTCTACACTCGAGAAACAGCCACGAATTCTAGCTGTTGAAAAGCATACTGCAAGAAAATCATTAGTTGCCACTGATGTACCACCAACAATGCCAGGTCAGCAATTGTTTCATAACCCATTGATCAAACATATCCTCGGTTAAAATCATATAATAATGATAAAAGCATCTTTCTTAATCCATGCTGTACAATCCTGATTTGCAGAGCAAAAATATGTTACATACATACAATCAGATACATACAATGTACCTCTTAGCATTAAGAAACTTCTTCTTTTTCATGACAGTTAACCAAATTGTACAAACTGCAACAAAGCAAAGATCAAAGCCTCAATGCTCTGTTTGTAAGCATCCGATGAAAGGACACAAGAAAGTCGACTGTCCAACCAATAAATAACATTAAAATTGTATGGTTGAGAAAGGTATCAAAGTATCAGGGAGAAGAATTTACTTTTGGAAACTCAGATTTACTCTGAACTATTACTCTCAAACCCCTTTGCATTTCCTGCCAAAACTGGAAATTCTTGTCGAATTGCATTATATGCACAGGCCGGCAAGGGAATTCTTTTGTTTCCAAGGCGACCGTGTATCAACCTCGTGAAGGATCTGTCTGAGATACTTCGTAGGAATCTGAAGGAAAAAGATAAAACTGAATGATGTTTATTTTGTAATGAAAACTCACAACACAATGAAATATATTGAACCATATAAAAAACCATCACACATTAGATTTAATTTTAAAAAAAGGAGAAAAAACCATTGGTACCCTTAACAACTTTAGCCTTATGAAAATAGAAAATGTGTTAACTGTATATAAAACTCTGTTAACTTTGGATACGTATACTTGTGAAAGTGCAATTTGTTGTTTAAATTTGAAAAAAATGCACTTACTTATTTTCAAATCCAGTACGCTTGTATCTTGTTTTGTCTTTTTTTTTAAAGCTCTGTGCTATCACCCCTAAGGACCATTTATTGAGGCACACTGGTTTAAACCCAGGGTGCTCAACCACACATGTTGGAGTCTGTTCGCCAATATCTTGCCTTACTTCTACAGTTGTCAATGATGATATACAACCTTTAATTTCAGTGCAGCATTTGCATTCTCTAGCATTGGCAAGTCTGTCTATAGCACAGTTTCCACATTTGCACCTAAAGAAAAAGGCATAATCCTTATAGATATGAGGCAGTTATCCGTAACTATTTAACATAAACATTTATATTACTATATCTCTAGGTATTCACTTTTGGATTATGTAAATTACGTACAAAAGGGGAATATGGCTCAATCAAAGACCCAAAAGTTTTACTTTTCAGGGGGCCCCTTCAACCAGTTTGTTATTTGAGGTTATAGTTTTCGATAAATACTTTGATTTTGGTGTAAATTGGTTAAATTTGCACCTCGTATTTTGGTATTTAAGTATTTAAGGCTCGAATGTAGAATATATGAAAAATGAGCCCTAAGATGCCAACGACTCATATAATCAACTTAATTAGATTCCTAAATACATTAATATGAGATGGAAAAACACTCATGCCCACATTCGAATATATCGTTATTACTTTGGTCTGTGCCTATCTATTCCGGTTTGTAGAAATACGGTATCTAGGGGTAGAATACCCTGGGTACCAGACTCACTATATATGAAATAAAATAGAGAGTCTGGTCTAGTGCGCCCCATTCTCGTTCTGGTGTGCAGATATTAACCAATCAGGAGCGAGTGTACAGATTTCTGTACGTTCAAAGGTCACAGCGAAACAATAAACTTAGCTCTGGTGTAAAACATTGAACAGAACAGAACATAAATAAATGCTAGCCAACGATTGAGTTTGAAGATGCTGTTAAAACTGTACTCAAAGAATATTTTCCGCATGTTGTGGAACTGAACACAGAACAGCATTGAAAGCCTTGTTTGTAGAGAGAAGAGACACCTTCGCCATATTGCCAACTGGCTTTGGAAAGTCTCTGATATTTCAGGCTGTGCCTCTCGTTGCAAAGAAATTAGGCCTTGTAGTGAAATGCAGTAGATAAAAAACACCGCAAGGCGCTGAGAACAAACAACAACAAACACAGTAAATCAGTTATAGCTAATATTTCGCCCGGCATACGGGGCTTCGCTTGTCGTATTGGCCATATTTGCTGTGGTGACCTTCCAATGTGGTGATTCTAACCGCCGCAGTGTCCAAGCGCGCTGCCTTCACAGTGAGGAAGTAGACTTTGAAAGTACACACAATTTATGAGGAAACTTACAAAAGACTTATTTTAAGTTGTATACGAAATTTGATAATGATTAACATTTAATAACTGCATTGTGCTAACTTTAATTTCATGCGTCGCACATGTTTTTGGTGCCAAATGGCGTTTTAAACCTGATTTCATTGTTATCTTGAGGCAGAAAAGTCTATTACCACTGTATTAAAAATGTCGACTTTAAAGAACTTAATAAAACACATTTGCTTTAAGATTTCCCAAAACTCCTCTGACTACTGAGTTTCTTTGTTATTTATCTGACAGTCTTGTTTCACAGGCCTAGTCTGTTAAATAGACTTCAGTTCTTTCAAGTAAGTTCACCAGAACGAGAATGGGGCGCACTAGACCAGACTCTCTATTATTTTATATAGTGAGTCTGGTACCCAGGGTAGGGGTAGAAAGTCTTTGACTAAAAACTCACCAAGAGTCCAGTTGTTCAATGCCTTCAAAACGTCTCGATAAGATGCTTTCTTCTTCTCGACTTTCCTGAATAGCCCTTTCATAATTTTGAACGTACTCTTCGTCCGCAACGGGATCATATTCGAGTAGGCCATTATCATCGTCCGTACTTGAATCGACATCAGCGGCCGCGGCGGCACCTATTTCCTCGTTTCCCTCAACCTCTATAGCATAATTCTCTTCAGACTCATAATCATAACTACCATTCGCATTAGACACATCGCTTTCGGAAGAAGACATGGTAAAATATTGGAAAGATTGAACAAAGTATGCACAGACACGGTCTTCGTCGAGATACGATTCCAATATGGGTTCCCGGTATGACGTAGCTAAGGCTCATTCCCAGTCCACCCTTAAAACGCGGTACTGCATCGCGAGGGGTGTGAAATAAAACCCCTATATTTCTGAATTTCTTTACAATTACACAACGAAAAATGGTTTTCTAAGTTCCTATTTTTATTGGTCTTTTGTTTTCATAAACTCCCTCCAAGGTGAAGGGGCACTTTAA